CCAGATTTAAACAGGAGGAGGGCATTGGCAAGATACTTTCAGTAACAAGGTCTTAAATCTTAGTTTATTCTTTGTACACAAGAGCTCCCATATGCAAACCTTATGGTTACACAACATGGCTTTTTATGCTTTCCCAGCCTTCTCTTAGGTATAGTAAAGGTTGATTAAATCCATTCTGAGCTCTGTTGTTATATCAGACATACCACAGTTGCATCTGTCTTCACTGTTTATAGCAATGAGTCAGGAAAGCAACATTTTAAATACTTATCCATGCTAGAAAAGACATGCTAAAAATTGCTTAGGAATAATGCTGTAAAAATGTTTCACATATATAAATAAAATTTATGAGTAAATAAAATACATACATTAAATATTAAGGCAATGTCTAATAAAGCATGTTTCTGAAGGCCTGCATTCTAGTTCCACTGTCTGTATTTAATACAAAACCATCTTTTTCCTCAGTGGGTGTGAGAGGCGAGCTGGATGCCTGGGTCTGATTGCAATCTGCCAGAAATAGAGCTATTTTTATGTGGTTAGCACAGGTTTCTTTTTTGATGAAGTTTCTGCAGGCTGAATGACACCAAATAACAGATATATGTAAGCAGAAAAACATGCAGTAAGTACAGGGAATTGGAACATTGTGTTGTCAGTGGCTAGAGAGTAAGAACTTCCCTAAGGAAATATTTAGAAAAACGTGTTTGTAGCTATAAAAGCTGTAAGTGGAAAGCACCACACATGGGCTTTGTGCTGTGCAGAGAGTGCCACCCTCTGCTCCTGCAGAGTATGGAGCCTTTCTCTCCTTCCTGACTCTTCTTCTTTCACTAGTGCAATTCTCATGCAGTGAGTTACAAAATTAGCCAGCTGGACAGAAACTCTGCAAATGGCCAGTATTCCCTGGTAATTTTGTTAGGTCATCTCTTTAATTGCATTATATGCCACATTTATTTTTTTTTCTCAGAGGAAAGATGAATAAATTTCCCTTCCCCTTTTAGGAACAAGGCCCTGAAAAAGACAATTCATATTAAGGTGTGACAGAGCTCACTTGGAGAGAAGGCAGCATGGCAGCTCCTGTATGCAGTCCAGTTGCAGGGTGAGAGAATCCTGCAGCTGGCTGTGGTTAAAGAATTTGTTGTGGTACCTTCTGATGTTTCTTCCTGAAGAATTAAAGAGTGCTCAGCAACAAGAACTCTAACAGGCTTTGGGGTAAGCCATGGGCTCTTTCACTGCTGGAGACAGAGACTGCACTTTATACAAGTTGTCTCCTGCAAATTTACAGGAATTCCTTCCCTTAAAGGCCTCCTTTGTGATAGTGTTTGACTTTTTTTCTGGCTTTTTAAACCACGACATTCCTCTGTTGTGCTAAAAATTACATTACTGATGATAGGCATCTTTCAGTATGAAGGTTTCTCTTCCAGGCAGCCTGGTTAAGGCAGCTTTGTGCCATTCTTGGGCAATAGTCTCCAAACAAGTGGCTATTCCTGTAGCTGGGCCTTGGTGCTATGTGGCAGAGTAACAAGTAAAAAAGAGATACTTTGGAGCTTTACCCAAGTATTACATTGCTCTAGAGAGATGGGATCAAAGTGAAGAAGCAAACATAGGCAAATATTCCAATTGAAGAGAAAAACTTCTTCAGTGACTCAACAATTGAGCTTTCTGTTAGTTATTGTTTTCTGGTTTTGAGTTCTCTGCAAGAGGCAAAACTCCAAGCTTTTACATTCTTAGAAGAAAATCAAAACCAGATCAATGAAGATCAAGCATTCAAGTCTTCCTCACCATATTGTTTTTGACATCTTCTGTGTAAGAGTACCCAGTAAAGGTCACTGCTAAAGATTTGGAGCACTCATTCACGCATGCAATTCTTGGGGTTTCCTCTCGTATCTCAGCAGAGCCTCACTCTCTTTCATTCAGCTCCCCTTCACACATTCAAATCCCACATATGGTTTATGAGCTCAGTGCCAAATGTGCATGCAGCCAAGAAGGTCAAACTTCAGTCGTGGTGTTGAGCACAGCCTGGGATTGCCATTTCATACTGGCATCTGGGTCCAGCAGCAGAACAGCAGGAGGCTGTCCCATGAATCCAGATCCACTTATCTGATACCTCTGATCATCACGCTGGGAGCCTCTCTTAGATCCACGCATCTGCAGTTGAGAACAGTCCTCTCCCTGATGTAGTTTGTAAAGTAATGGTCTCTTCCAAAGAATGCCTAGAGGGCTGTGTAATGTGTGCAGGAAAACACCCAGCTGTTGGCAGTATCCAGGAGCTCGGTTAACAGGTTTGCAGTTCAAACAACAGGCTGGTATTTCGGTTTATCAACTCTCCTGACTTGTGGAACAGCCTCCTGTCTTCCTAGAGAAACAGCTCAGAGGATCATGTTCATAATAAGGATAATTTGGAAGGGTTGATAACAGAGTAATATCTGGCAAAGCGAACAGTGTTTACCTTGCAATTATATTAAGGGTGGCAATATGACGGTAGCAGCAGTTTTCATTATGAAATTATGTGCTCCGATGCACCAGCTCCCAGTACCCCAAAGGACTTGTGGGATGCCCGGCTCCAGAAAGACGCTGGAAACTCGAAGGACTGATTTATTAGGAAAGGGCCATGGGGAACGCTGAAAACGAGACATTTACAGACATGTCACGGGACTTTCCTGACTCAGACCCCGTAAAAGGCAACGCTAATGCAGGAACATCAATGATGCAGATACACAAGGCTGCGAGGGGCGCACACATTCACAAAGAAATTTTAATTTTTAATTTATGCACAACTTAATTTTAATTTACGCGCGTCGCTGCCGGCCCCGGGGTCCCCACGGAGCAGCCGGTCAGACCCCCGCCCCTCAGAGAGCCGGGGCACGGTCCGGGGCGGGCACGGAGGCGGCCCGGCCCGAGAGCCGCTCCCCCTCCGTGCCTCCCTCCCCTCCGTGCGCTGCCGGAAGGGTCCGTCTGGAAAAGCCGCCGCTTCTCCACGGGCCCGGCGGCTCCGCCGCCGCCTGGGAGCGCCCGGGCCTCGGCCGCGACTGTGCCCGGCGGGGGCCGCGGCCGGCGGCGCGCGGGGGCAGAACCGTGGGGCCCGTGCGGGGCCGCGCTCGGCAGCGGCGGCAGCGCCGGGCCGGCGGCGGAGCGAGAACCGCGCTGCACCGCCCCGCCCGCCCCTTCCCGGCGCAGGCAGCGCCACGTCTCGGGCAGGAGCCGGCGCCGGGCGGGCGGCCTCAGGTCTGCGGGGGCTGGCCGGGATGGGGGGCGGCGGGGGTGGCTCGGGGCGGGGGCAGCTTCAGGCCGCGGGGCGCTGGGGGAACCGCCCGGCTCGGCTCGGCTCGGTTCGGTTCGGTTCCGCTCCGTGGGCTGCGGCCCCGGGCCTCCCGCTGCTTCTGCTGGCGCCCAGGGACGTGCCCGGCCCAGAGACCCCGCGGCCGTGTCTGCCGGTGCCTCCCGGTCTGTGACCGGGACCCGTTGTCGTTCTGACTGTTCGTGTTTTAAGCAAAATCCGTGACTTTGATACAGCCCTTTCCATATGGGCTTATTGTGTTCCCGTGGCGTGCCTACATTTGTGTGTGTGTGTGTGTCTGGTTGTGCGAAACACAGGGATACAAAAGGACTCGGAGGCCAGAATACTCTTCCGTTTAATACTGGAATGGGTTGTGCAGAGGAAAGCCATTCTTCATCACCTTGATCATTTAAACGTGTTTTATGACAAGGACAACAAATCATCTCGTGTGGGCTGGATTTTGACAAGGTGTAAGGAGCCAAAATCTTGCTTGCCTTTTGTCTGCGATTCCTCTTGGTAACCTGTCACATAGCATCTATTTGCTGTACCTAGGAGTTTTATTGAAAGCCTTATTGTACTGAAAACCTTTAAAAATTAGTAACAAATCACAGTAAAGGTATTAATTTTTTTTTTTTTGTTTGGTAGAGGTTTCCCATTTGGAAACATGCTGCAGATTTCTGGCTCCTTCACAGCTCATTTCTGTAAGGATCACCCACATAACCGTGTTTTCCTGTGTGTCCTGAGCTGTTTGCTGCTTCAGTAACATTTTGGAGGTGATAGTGGTGTTGCAGGGTGACCAGGGCAGTGTGGCACAGTAGCAGTTACACAAGTGCTCCCTGGAGATATGGAAGGAATGTTGTTCAAAATGTTTGTGTTCATGTAAAAATGCAGTCAAAATATTCCTGATTTGGCATTCTCCAAAACCACACCCCCCCACCCCAGAGGTTAGATTAGGTATTCAGAAGTTAGATCTGAATACCTGAAGAATCATTTGTAAATTCTGTAAACTGTGTTTGGAAATCCTTTTCTTGGCTGGTCACAGGAGAAGGCAATGTTTAGCTGCAGTTCCAGGCCGTGTTCTGACTGCCAGCTTGTGCTGAAATGAGTAGTTCAGAGTCTGTACAGTGATTCATACTTGTTATTCTGCAGACAAGTAAACAGTAATGATGTAATTTAATTTTTAAAAAGTTAAATCTGAATTCCATACTTCATTTTAACAAAAGATACTGAAACTCATTCCTTTAAATTAAATACATGGTATGTTTCCATATATATACTGTAATTTACAGGGGACAATACTACTCTGTTACTGGCTTTGTTCTTAAAGCAGAGGCCAAAGAGATCTTTCTATTAAAAGGGACAATGGTTCTAAATCAGCTGTCTTGCTAAATATCTGTTGCATCCTTCTGCAGTGTATCAGTGCTACTAAAATAGTGAACATAAACAGATCACTTTTTCTCCCCAGATCTGGATACTTGGTTGTATTTCATTGTTTTTGTTGTTACTGCATGTCCTGGTTCTGTCTGTGGGCACTACTTTATTTTTAACTCATATTTTCAGAGCTCCAGGAAATGTTTGTAAATTTGCTACATTTTGTTTCTAGAGGATGCAGCTCCTTGGTGATTGCGACTTTGGCTGCGAGCTGTTTCCATGATGTGGAGTTAGAGCTGCCTGCTGCACACCAACAGCTCTCCAGCTCAGAACTGTGCTCTTGTGTGACACCTTGATGCTGTTCTTGCTGATGGAGAGAAACAGGACTTGGTAGTTCACTTGGTGGCAAATTGTTGAGAAGAAGAACTTTCCAGGGATCTGGATCATTTTTACCATGGACTCCTCATCTGTCCAGCAGGATGTTCACTTGGAGAGCAGAAGTGGTAATGGGGCTCCCAGCAGCTCTGAAGAACTTCCAGATTGTAAAGCCAAGTCACAGCTACTTACGACAGATGAAATTAACAGTAAGTTATTTCATACACACCAAATAATTTCCTATCTTACCCTGGCTTTTATATAATCATCTGTGTTATTGTTCAGGTGAAGTTTTTCCTTGGGGTCAGGAATTTTTTGTACAGCAGTTTTAAGCAAGTTTGGTGAAGTCTATAGCTCTGTGTGTATGTAAAGCTGTTGTGGTTTTTTTTGCTGTAGAACTTGCTCTTCTGAAAGCAAAAAAAACCCTACTAGCTAAAATACTATCAGCTGTCAGGTGAGTATTTATTGTTCAGGGTGTCAGTCAGTCTTCAGATAATGTTTCCAAGAGTGTATACCTGAAACTCTCTAGAACAATCAGTTCTGAAATAACTGTTCCAGAGTAAGCTTGTGACTGGAGTACTTTATTCTGGCAGAAGAAATCTTCCTAATAAATTAAATCACTTAAGCAAAAGCCAAAACGTCTGGCTCTGCTTCTCTTTATGAAAGAGAGATGCTGGCATGTACTCTCCAGTTTATCTCAAAGTAACTTTTATAGGTAGACGAGCTCTATAATAAAATAATCATGCAGCTGTTTATGAGAAACTGTTTAGAGTCCACTATCTGAGTAGATTATAGAATCAGAGTTGAGTTGGAAGGGAGCTGTGCAGGTTATCCAGTCCAACCTGCTGCACTGAGCACACCTGGAGCAAGATCAGGTTGCTCAGGCCCTCGTGCTATTGAATTCTGAAAGTGTCTGTAGAGGGAGGTTCATCAGCCTCCCTGCCCATTCCAGTATTTAACTGCTTTCATTGTGAAAGTATTTTCCCTGCACTGAATTGAAATCTCCCTGTTTTCCTGGCAGGAGTCCAAGGATATGTTGGTGTTTAAGGATGTGGGGGTGGCTGGGTGGAGAGCTGTGTACATTGTGGCTGCCTAGACACACGAAACCACAGTGGTTCCTTGTGTAAAAGGAGGTGACGTGGTGAGGCTGGGGCCTTCTGGCACCACAGGTTTGTCACCTTGTCACAGGCAGCAGAGAGGAGGCCCTGACACTTCATTTGCTTTTCTTACTCTGCCCATCATCAGAGTGGCAGAGTGTGATGATTCATTCATCTTTTCTGAAGCTGGAGATCACATGTTCCTGTTCTCTCTTGTGTTTGACAATCAAATTGTGACTTTCAATTAGATAGTGTGTCTTTCTACTGTTTTTATTCTAATTGCATCTCCTTGCCCATTGTTCTAAAAAGACTGCAGCTGTTTTGACACTACTGCCTTTAAATTTCTTTATTCAAGGAGCATTTAGATTGTGTCTCCTGGCCTCAGGAAGTCACTAGGAAACCATTCCTCCAGAATTTTGCTCCAGCATCCCTTTGGTATATGTATACCACTCACTGCCGGGAAGAAAGTATAAACATGATGCAGTTTCTGAGATGGGCAGAAACAATATTTCTGAATGTATGAGCTGTCATCATATTTTTGGCTGGTGGCTATTCTTAGCATTGACACCTATTTCAAATTCAGTTTTGCCAATATTCTAGTTTTGAAACATGTTAGTCATTAAAAAGCAGTCTTTCCCTCTGTCCTCCTTTATGTCCTTGTTGAACTCACCCCTTCCATCATGTCTGCAACTGTTTTTGTGACAACATGATGATCTAAATCAGAGAAGTGATTAAGGCTAAATGGCCTGAAATGTCTGCATGACAAATAAGATTTCAAAAGTATTTTATTCAAATCTTAGAGCTGATGGGTTTTGGCAGCCTGAGTCTGAAAGCTTTATATTTCTACCCAAATTCAGTTTCTTCATTCAGTTTCCTCTCTGCTGGTTCACACTGAGCTGGGAAGATGCACTGCAGAGGTGGGAACTTGATTTTTGCACTTGCAAATACTTTGTGATCATAAATGTTAAATATTTTCCACCATCTTTAGGAAAAAAAATATAAACATTGCATATTATTCCAGTGAGTTGCAGTTACTTCAGTGATAACATGGTGTGGGAATGAACAGAAAGACAGTGGCTGTTTCAGTGCTCTGTTCATTTGAGATATACAGTAATTAATTTAAAGTTAGATACATGGGTTTTTTGCAACAGCAGGTTCATAAATGTTAGTAGTCCCCAGCCAAGTGAAATAGAAATGAGAAATCCAGAGTATAAACCTGCGAAATGTTTATCTGGTTTTGAATATGCATTTTTCCTGCTGGAAGAGAAAAATACTAGTAAGTGGGGATAATATTGGTGTTGAAGTGATTCTTTAATTGCATTTTAATTGGTAGGTTTATTATTTTGATACATATGATCTTTGCTACTGTGCTTTTGATGAAGATAGCCTATTTGAAAAAAACGTAAGCTCAGTTTAAAACTGAGAAACTGCTTGAGCCAGGCTGGAAATGGGGATGGTGGATGCTCTCTCCCCAGTGCCCAGCTGCACATCAAAGAGCTGAATCATTCAGCACAGGCCTGCAGCTGCTGAGGCTTACTTGTAGTAGATTGTCTCTCAGAGTTCCTTACACTTGGTGTTTCATGCTTCTAAGCCTAACAAGATTTAAAAACCTCTGTGAAGTTTTGAAGATATGTTTTAGGATGACTTTTGAGGTCCTGCTTGAGGGCCACATAGTAAAGCAAATGAAAAGTACTTATTCTGGTCTTCTAAAGTAAAGAATCAAAAATGCTCTATGAAATGTCTTCTGCCAGTTGCTGTCAGTAGGAGTTTCTATATTCATGCAATGTAAAGGCAGTAGTGCTGGCTTTGTATTTGGGTGGAGCTGTGAAGATGAATTAAGTGGCTTGAAGTTGTAGCTCAGTAAAACTTTCTTTTCCAGCTACCAGTAATAACATCAATGAAGTGCCAAATGAAGAGGGAGGTCTGGAGATAAACAGCAAAGTGGATGCCTGCCAGAATGGGCCAGAGTCGCTCTGCCTCGACTCTCCTGGATCTTTTGATCCTACCAGCAGTGAGCAGGGTGAAGAGTCATCCCCAGGTGTGACTGGTTTCCATGACAGCCTAAGGAAGTCTCAGGGAACTAGTGCTGAGGGCATAGCTCTTAGAAAAGAAGCTTTGCAGTCTCTCAAACTAAGTCTTCCCATGCAAGAAACTGAATTGTGTAAGCATCTGTTTATGGTGGTGCCCCTGCTTTCTCTTGCTGCATAAAGCTTTTTACTCTGAGCCTGGCTCTGGACTTCTGTAACATCATTTAAGCTTGAACTAAACTTCATTTTTGCAGTAAACTTTTACTTAGAACTGCAATTCATTTTCTTTCAGTAAACCACCCTCTGCTACAGCTAAGGCACTGCCTTACCATTTAAAACTGGCTCTTCACTGGAGGGGAATTCACGCTTTCTGGGGCTGAAGCTATTCTAATCTTCTTGATTTTTAGGAGTAACAGGTGACATTAAAAAAAAGAACAGCAGAACCAGGTGATTTTAAGCTGAGAAAAAAAGGAGAGAAGAGCAATGAAGGGGGGAGAAGGGAATATCTTTATATTAAGGTGTCTAAAAGTCTTACTACAGAAAAGGTTTCATGTGAGTTAAAGTTTAATGTGAGTTAATAAAAGGTAAGAAAATATATCTATGGAACCATTTTCCACTACTTGTAGGGAATGAGTGGACTGTGTAGGTCTTGCTTAGTTTTATAATTTTAGTACTGTCAGAAATGCAGGACAAGTGAGATTAAGTGACAGCAATATTTTTTTTTCTTGCTGTATAATCTCTTGTCATGTCCTCCATCTGTGGAGGAGCTATAGCATTTGCTAACTGAGCAGTGGAAGTCCACAGGCTTTATCAGTGCTTACACAAGGCTGTATTTGAAGAGGGTCATTTGAGGTGCATGTCAGTGGGCTTTCCTTTTGTTCCTTGCTTAAGCATGAAGCATGTTGCTGATGGTAGAAGGGGCCTTTACCTTTTGCATCCCTTTTACCTGTGTTGGAGTTTTCTGTTTGACTGTGAAGATGCCTTTCCCTCACAGGCTCTGTAGAGTCTTCACTGCCACTGGAAAATGAAGAACAAATCAGACTTCAGGCAAGAAGGCGTCTGGAAGAGCAGCTCAAACAATACCGAGTGAAGAGACACCAAGAAAGAGTGAGTACCACACAACACATCTTCTAGATTGTGTTTTGTTGGGAAGCTTGAAAACTTTACCATTTCTGTTCCCTGAATTAAAACATTCAGTAGTTTTCTCAAATGAGAGAAAGCATTTTTGTCTTCTGGACAGGCAAAATTTGGTTCTGTTACCTCATCAGTAATGTACCATTTTGTGCTACTTAAAATAGGAGAGGAAAAAACAGACACCAAACTTAAAGTAACCTAAATGTTCAATTTTGCCTGTATTTTTCAGTTACCTTTTGGAGTCTCACATGAACATTTTCAACATCTATATACTGCAGCTTGATAGGGTTGGTTGCTGGTATAATTTACCTTGTTTATGAAAGGACATATGTTTAATATCAGTGTAAAAGTGTAGAGCTTTATATCTTAAGTTACAGCAAAATAAGTCTTTGATGCTATTTCAGAGTTAACATTCTGGAATTTATTGTTGACTCTTTGCTTCTTTTAGTCGAGTCAGTCTACATCCAAAACCCGTCCCTCCAGCACCCTGGATCCTGAGCTGATGTTGAATCCAGAAATCCTGCCAAGAGCCAGCACTGTAGCAATGACTAAAGAATATTCCTTTTTGCGGACCAGCGTCCCCAGGGGGCCAAAGCTGGGTAGCCTGGGACTTCCAGCATCCTCAAAGGAAAGAAGAAGCTCAAAGTCTAAGGCCAGCAAGATCCGGTCCTTGGCTGACTACAGAACTGAAGATTCAGATGCTCGAAATGCTACTGGGAATTCCGTGGCTCCTGACTTACCTGGGGGGGCTCTGACACAAAGCAGAAGTGGCCCAACATCAGTTGTGTCTGAGATCAGTCTGCCCTCTGATGTGGATGATCGGGTAGAGAATTCCTCCTTGGCAGGAGACAGCATTTCAGAGATTGATGGCAGTGAAGTGGGAATGAGGCTGGATGGAAATGAGAGTGACAGCTCTACCTACAGCAGTGTATCAGGGAAAGGGCTGTATAGCACTTTGCAGAATGCAGAAGGCAAACAGGACACTCCATATACAATAAATGGCCAGAAGATACATCCTGAAGCAATGGGGCAATTTCCTTCCCTTAGTGAGGTGCTGCAGGCTGCAGCAGTGGAGCACCAGGCCCAAGAGCAAGAAGTTAATGGGGAGGTACGGAGCAGGAGAGACAGTATTTCTAGCAGGTAAGGATATCTATTGTTAATGATATTTTCTTGGAACAGGCAGCCTATTACTAACTTTAGATCCAGTTTTAACTTACACTGTTATCGAGTCTGTTAGTAGCTTACAAATTCTAAAAGAATCTGAGAGGTTGCTTCACTTGAGTACCTATTTACCAAGTATATCTTTAGAGAAAGATATTTTTGCCACTGGCTGTGTTAAATGTACTGCCAGCAGTTGTTTCTGTCTGTATAGAAGGACGTCATTCACTGAATCACTCATGAGCCTTTGTCTATAAAGTCTGAAAGTACAGACTTGACTGCCTCAATGATATTTAGTATTGTCTTTTTCCTCATCTCTGCATGTACCTTTCAGACCTCACATAGTTAAGGAATGCCAAGAGTCTTGTCCTAGATATCTTATCCTCTTCAGCCCTTTGAGAATGAGATTTAGTTTCCCAAGCTTATGTGTATATGACAGGTTCAAACTGATTCAGAAAGCAAGGGCATAACTGGTGATGCCCTTTTTATCAGTTGTCTGCAGATGCATATTTTATATGTCCTACTTTTGAAATTACTTCCCCTGCTTTATTGGAATAAAGTGTCATCCCCAAATATGTTGAGGTGTACAATCAGTTGTTGATGATTATTCTGGCTTAGATTTATTTCTTATGGTAATTGGAAAAGATCTTTTTCTCCAGGTGCCTTGGCTGTACAGCAAGGAATCAGCATAAGGAATCCCTTATGCCAAATACCTGTTATTCCTTCTTATGGAGAAGTTATGAGAAAAACTGTGAAGGTTTTAATTGTGAAGTTATGAGAATAATTGTGAAGGTTTTGTGATCCCATCATGTCCAGTTGTCTGCTTAAATGAGATTTGTAAATGCAGAATATGATGAAGTCAATGATTGCAGTTCTGAAAAATAACAAATATATGGTGCCACACTAGATTCTAGTTGCTGCAAGTACAGGAAACTAAAGTATAAAACCTTAGCAGGTATATAATTTCTTTCTCTTTTTACCAGAGGTTGTTACACTGTGTTCTGCATCTATCATAAACCAGAATAATGTGCTACAGTCTCAGCCAAAGGGATTCTGAGTACCTCTTGCTTTCAGAGTCACTTTTCTTCAACTGGACAAGTGTTGTATTCTAACCCTGTGACTGTGCTTGTGCTGTCTCTGTCTCCAGTGTTTCTATGGAAAGCTCTATCGCAGGAACTCATGACGAGATGCTGCAGGTTATGAAGGAGAAGATGAGACTTGAAGGGCAACTAGAAGCACTCTCACTAGAAGCTAATCAGGTAGAAAATGAATTTGGAATTCTGTATTCAGCAAATCAAAATAAGATTTTAATTAATTTTCAAGAACCTCTTGCTCATTACTTGTGGAATTGTGTTTTGTAAAAACATTATTGAATGAGGTACTTTACAAGAGTGCCATGGTGGGCTGACCCTGGCTGGATGCCAGGTGTCCACCAAAGCTGCTCAGTCCCTCTCCTCCTCAGCTGGCCAGGGAAGAGAAGAAATAACAATGAAAGGCTCGTGGGTTGAGATAAGGACAGAGAGAGATGGGGAGTCTCAGCTCCATAGCATGGAGCACCTCCTTTGGTCTTTGCCTTATCAAAGCCACTTTGCTGGGCATCTTTTTTAGTCAGCCACTAATATATTTTTCTCATGAGACTCCTGCATTTTGGTTTTCTGGACACATTCAGGCTCTCAAAGAGAAGACTGAGCTACAAGCCCAACTTGCAGCTTTGAACATGAAGCTTCAGGCACAGATGGAGCACAGCCAGAACAGCCAGCAGAAGCAGGAATCCCTGAGCTCAGAAGTGGCCACATTAAAGCAGTCTTGCTGGGATCTGGAACGAGCAATGGCTGACCTGCAAAATGCCTTGGAAGCAAAGAATGCCAGTTTGGCTTCTTCAAACAATGATTTGCAGTTAGCAGAGGAGCAGTACCAGAGACTCCTGCAGAAGGTTGAAGATATGCAAAAAAATGTTCTCACCAGAGACAGTACAGGTGGGGTGATGGAAATGTCAGTCTTTAAAATCTGTTCCATAAATCATTTTATTTCAACTTGATTTTGAAGTCCAAGAAGAAGAAGAAATTTAAACTTGTGTTTATTTGATATCATACTAATAAAATGGTCTCAATTTTAAGATGTTTGGTTTTGATTTTGTGTCACAGAAGTGCCACAGTTTGCAAGCTGCCACTGCCAGCCTGGAGAGAGAGGCATAAATATTTAGTCCAGACAGTGGCCTAGTTGTTTTTTTGGAAAATTGCACAAATGCTGATTTGTAACGATGACTCTATGTGCCAGGACACCTACTTCCTGATGTTTAGTTAGTTCATATTTTCTGCCTCTAAGGAACTGTGAATGCTTACAGAAGTGATTCATTTAGTTTAATTTTATTCTGTTTATGACCTGGTACTTTGGATTCTAGCACTTTGGCAGGAAAAGCCAATCTTTCTATAATTAGGCATATGTGCTTTTGTTCAACAATTAAGGAAAAAATAGATAAAATTACAAATACAGCAATAATCCTTGAAAAAGTGTGCATAAGAATAGCACAATGGGGTGTGTTAGTCCAGGCTCTTTATTCTTGTTTTTCTAGTTCATGACCTGCGACAGCAGTTGGCTTCCTTGCAGACCCAGCTTCAGAAGGTGCAGCTGGAACGGACCACGCTGACCAACAAGCTGAAGGCATCTGAAACAGAAATCACATCTCTCCAAAATGTGAGGCAGTGGTACCAGCAGCAGCTGGTCCTGGCACAGGAGGCCCGTGTCAGGCTGCAGAGTGAGATGGCCAATATACAGGTATTGTGATTTATTGCATATGGGAGAACTGAGAATCTTTTTTTTTTTGTCAGTTTTATCCACAGGAAAAAACTGATTTTTTTTTTTCCTTCTTTTAGGCTGGGCAAATGACTCAAGCAGGGATGTTGGAACATCTCAAACTAGAGAATGTGGCCCTGTCTCAGCAGCTGACTGAAACCCAGCACAGGTCCATTAAAGAAAAGGAACGTATTGCAGCACAGCTACAAAACATTGAGGTTTGTGAAGGGTTTTCATGAGTTATGTTCTGTCCACGTTGTGTATTTATGTTTTGTAAAATCAAGGGTATTCTGGCAAAGTAACATAGAATTCTTCTGAATTGGTTCAAATTCTGCCTTATAAAAGCAGTAAATATTTGAGAGCAAATAAATTTGCATGGCATTATGAACAATAAGAGGGAAGAAGGTCATTCAAAGGTGATACTTGCATTTTCAGTTCTGGCATTTGTTTTTAATTGAACTTTGAAGGCAAATGTAAATGTTGTCTTTTGCCCATCCATGAACTTGTTCAAGAGGAAACTTAATTGGAAGTTAATCTAAATCAGTAATGTGTTTTTTAAGTGTGTGAAATTGCTCAGTGATCAGGTTTGTCTTTCCTTCTCTCCAGTAAGAAAAGTTGGGTAAAATCTGAAGCGCAGTACAGTCACTTCCAAAGCTTTTAGAACATTAAAATCCCCTGATTTTCAGTGACATTTCTGCTTCTGAGTCAAAGGAGAGTAAAGCAGCAAGTTAGTGGAAGCACCCATCTGCAGTGTTACTGATGGCTTGTATAAATGACAGGACTGTTTCCTGAGTAGCTACAGCATCCAAGGAATCCCTTTTGGTTTAGAATTTTCCCAGACAGCTTAATTTTAATAAAGATTATTTTTCTTCATGTCTTGCTCATCAACTGAGAAAGGACAAGGTGATATTTAATAGGTATTCAGATTGCCACAAGTATGCAAGACATCCATTATTATTCTAAGGTGTTTTAAGTATAGGAATGAGTGACTTCAGTAAAGGTATACAGGTGTGTAAGGCAGACATCAGAATTATTTTTGTGTTTTTCCTCTACAAATTTTCTTAATAATTTACTTTTCTCTTTTCCTATTTTTTTCCCACTCCTTCCCCTCCATTGAAACTGTAGAAGTTGATTCCATGCTTTTTCTATGCAGGCTGACATGTTAGATCAGGAAGCTGCCTTCATGCAGATCCAGGAGGCTAAAAGCATGGTGGAAGAAGACTTGCAGAGGAAACTAGAGGAGTTTGAGGATGAGAAAGAACAGCTTCAGAAAATGGCTGATTCTGCAGCAACACTGGAGCAAGAATTGGAACAGGTAGACTGTTGTTAATCAACTTCCCAGGAATTCCAAGGGAAATACTGGTTTGGCAGAAAAAGCAATAGTAAATTGATACTGACCTCTAAACTTCTTTTTGAAAACTGAAAGATTGCTGCAAAAATGAAGTGCATGCTAAAGTCATTCTGTTTCAGGTGAAAAGGCCTTTTTTCCAACCATGTCAGTAATAATACTTTTTAAAAATTTCATAACTACTGTCTTGCCAGATGCTGTTTTTTTTAGTGAATTCAGCATGTGATTATTGTGAGCATAGACAAAAACCACAGATCCATGTTCAAAGTTGTTGGGCAGTCATTGCATTACATACATTTACACTTACAGTCATGTCATTACATACATTTACACTTACAGTCATGTCATTACATACATTTACACTTACAGTCATGTCATTACATACATTTACACTTACAGTCATATCATTACATACATTTACACTTACAGTCATATCTTTACATACATTTACACTTACAGAGCTCTGCTTTAACCTCGTAACCTTATGCAGGCACCATGTCAAGGGCTGCAGTGACATGAAGTATGTGATGGCTCAGTACTATATTCCATGTCATGATATGGTATTATTAATAATGCTGAATTTACCTGAATTTGCTGTGGACACATTTTTCAAGTAAAATTTTTGAATACAATGAATATTATGAATATTTTACGTTTGTCATTCTGGTCATTGCTTAGCCTGTGAGGTAACAGATGCTGCTCAAGGCAGTCAATACAATTAACAGAGTAAATACAAGTGGGCTCAGAAAGTTAAAAATATTTTCACCTTCTGCTGTTTTCTCCTACAGGCTGAAATATTAATCATAATACTTGATTTTGATTAGAGTGCTTTTGCAAAGATAACCTTTGTTTTGTATTAATTTAATTTTAAAATATTTCCTGTCAGGTCAAGTTGACTTTGCATCAGCGAGATCTGCAGCTTGAATCCTTGCAGCAAGAGCACCTCGACCTGATGAAGCAATTGACTCTAACCCAGGAGACACTGCACACCAAAGAGCAGTCCCTGGATGACCTGCAAACACAGTATGATGAACTGAAGGCCAGGCTAGAAGAGCTCCAGAGTGATGCTGCTTCTAAAGATGACACAATCCAGTATTTGCAGAATGAGAAGATTGTGTTGGAGGTGGCTCTGCAGGCAGCAAAAGCAAGTAAAGAGCAACTTGATGAAGGGGCCACACGCCTTGGAGAAGGTACAGAGGTAACATCAGAAATCTTGGAGCAGCTGAAGCAAGAAATGGCAATCAAGTCAAGCCAGGTATTGATCTTTCTGAAATCTTACCAGTTTTAAAATACAATAATTTGGAGTACAGGTTACAGTTTGGGAAGTAATTTTGTAGTGTGCTCTTTTCTGTGGCTCTGTGGGCCAAACATCTTTCCTGTGCAGTAATTTGGTTTGCAGTGTGGTGATCTGGTGAGTGTATTTCTGTATAAAATGTTGTGTTATCTCACCACTGAGATGCTTAGTCAGAAACAGCATCCTTGTTAGATTAGGCAGTTGTTACAAATCAGACAGATAAGCTCACCAAAGAAATCAGGTATAATATGACATTTGGCTCATAAAGCAACGTTTGCTTTTTGCCCCTCTGGCAGGTGGAAAATCTGCAACAAGAAAATGCCAGCCTCAAAAAACAGCTTCAAAAAGTGAAGGAACAGTTCCTGAAGGAGAAGGTAAGTAAAACCAAAGACATTTCAGATACATAAACCCAAGGAAGAAACTTTCTTTTACAGTGAAGGCATGTACTTCTGGGGAAGTTTTGAGATCTATTTTTTGTATCACAGAACTTTGTGGCATTAAAATACAGAAAATGTATAGCTTTCAGTTGAATTTCTGTCTGTAACTAATGTGAAAGCTGATCCACCAACAAATGCATGCTTTGATAGGGCTTTGGCCTTTGCCAAGTGATGCACCATAGAAAATGTCTTTGATTTGTTGATTAGATTTGCTTTTGCAAAAGCACTCATGTAAATCTTCAAGTGTTGTCATTTCCTTGCAGCTTTGAAAAATAATAGTTGCTTCAGTAATTAGATGGTAAATAAGGGCTTTACTGCAAATTTTATTCTGAATTTACACAGTTTTGAAACAGTAATTTGAAATGGCTATGTCATTAGTGTTGCACATATATGTATCTTATTTTTAAGGTGGCACCATTAATTTGCTGCTTGATTGCTTATTAGCCTAATGTCAAAGTTTGTTTTAGTTTGTTATGTTTAAGTTTGGGAAGGCTGTTTAAGCTGTCAGTCATAGTTAAACCCTCTTCTCATGGCAAAAGTTACTAATTATGTGCGTAGGATGGTTAATTTTTTACAATTAGTTTGGTTTTTAAAAATGGCACATAATGCAGTTTCCATAAAGAATGTGAAGAAGAGTATCCCTTACTGCAGAGAACATTGAGGTGTTTCATTTAATAAACTGCTAATATGATAATTTGATATCTGAGCTTGAATAAAAGCCTTTGAACCAGAGTAAATATCTTACAGAAGCTGGTGCTGGTTTGTATGACACCCCCACCCCCTCAAACTAAAAGAATATCAGTGAATACTTTCTAGTAAATTAGTCAAAAATTTGCAAAGCTGAAACAGAGGTGAAACATTGTCCTCTTGAAACTCTTGTGTGCAAGGTCATGGTGGAAGCTTATCGAAGAGATGCCAGCTCCAAGGACCAGCTCATCAGTGAGCTGAAAGCGACAAAGAAGCGCCTGGACTCGGAGCTGAAGGAGATAAAAAAAGAGCTGCTGAAAATCCAAATTGAGAAACAGTCACTCGAATCTGAGCATTCAAAACTACAGAAGGAAGTATCTCAGGTTCACCAGCAGATGGTGGAACTAGAAAATCACCTCCAGTCAGTGCAGAAAGAACGAGATGATATGGAAACACGCCTGCAGGTATGGAAGGTGTAAGGCTTTGGAGAGTGTTACATCCAGGATACACTGCTCTTTCTGTTAACTTTGTAAAGAAACAGAATGACCACCTGCTAGTTCATGTTCTTGGTTATATATTTAAAATAGTCTAGACATTTCAACATATACCTACCAAAATTCTGTAAATGCATGACTGCTTACTAACATCTCATGTAAGTAAGTGGGGAGAAGCACTACAGGAGTGGTAGAAGACTGATGAGGAAGCAGTTTCCTTGGTCCTGCAGTGAACTCCATCTGAGAACAAGATCCAAACACTCTTCATATGTGTCAACAGTGGTGGCCTCAAAGGAAAGAGTTAAAGAGAAAAGGGAAAGAGAATATGGAGGACTAGAGAGCAATTTATATTTAGAGATGGAAATAATTTTGAAATTTCATTATTTTTCTTTTATAATCAAACATGACAGCAAAATGCTTTTGTTCTTACACTCATGAGTCTTCTTTTCCTTCCTGTTAAGTCTTTGCAGTTCGATAAGGAACAAATGGAATCTCTTGCTGAGGCAAATCAGGCATTAAAACAACAAGTAGAGCAAATGCAAGAAGAAGCAAAAAAGTAAGTGTTCTTCTAGCACAGACAAAAGAACTACAGCATCTGGTTTTCATATTTGGCTTTCAGATGTTGGGTTTTGTTGGGTCATGTGAAAAATTAATCTTGTAGTACTATTTGTCAAGCAGCTTTTGTTTTTACCTGGTGTTTTCTTTTCCTTTCACACCAGGGCCATTACAGAGCAGAAACAGAAAATGAAGCGTCTCGGGTCAGACCTGACCAGTGCTCAGAAAGAGATGAAAGCAAAACACAAAGCCTATGAGAATGCAGTCAGCATTCTCAGTCGGAGGCTGCAGGAATCTCTTACTGCAAAGGAATCTGCTGAGGCAGAGCTGAGCAAACTAAAAGCACAAATTACTGATGGTGGGAATGACCAGATTGCTCAGGTATGCAGATGTCCTTTGACATTGTACAAAGACAGAGCTATAAGTCTTGAAATACTGTTTCACCCTGAAGTGATGAAAATATTTGGAAGGTAAAGCTGGATAACAGGATGGTGTCAGGGTTCTGAGCACTGAAAACTTCTTTAACTATGTTTGAGAGAGGTAATTTGGCAAAGATAGAGTTACTGATTAAATTTTTTTTGTTGGTTGGTTTTTTGGTGGAATTGTTTAATCTTTTTTTTAAGGGTTAGTATCTAAAAGTTGTCCAAGATTTTAGCTCTTACTGCTTTTTTCTCATTGACAGCTAAAAGTTTTTCAAGGTAGCCACAGTTTATTTATATATGTTAGGCCTCTAACAAGAAAATTAATTTACTAAGGGAAGCTCCAATTTCTTGAACCAATGGAGCAAGATATCAAATACACCTACAGCAGTAACTAGATGCAGAGGTGGAAAACTCTGAGCAAGACCTTTAAATTAAACACTAGCACCTTGTTTCATGTTTGCTAGAGAAGCAGGTTTTTAACCAAAGCAGAAGTGACTCCTGAAGATGGGTGATGCACTAATCTCATGTGACCCCTTGTCTTTAGGAGAAGATCCAAGCTCTGAAGACAGAACTGCGAGCTCTGGGCAGCAGTAAGTTGATGCTGGAAAAAGAGTTGCAAGAAGTGATTTCACTGACCAGCCAGGAGCTTGAAGAATACAGAGAGAAAGTGCTGGAACTTGAAGATGAGGTGATTACTTTATTTGCTTGGTAGATGGGCATATGACAGTAAAAAGTGCCTGCGAGACAGGGAAAAATTGTAGTACCAAAATTTTATTCATTGGAATAAAATTTGGTGGAGAAAATCAGAATCATGGACAGGAAACATCATGTCAGAGGTACTTGCAAATTTTGTTGCCTTGTGCTGGTTCTTTGTGGTTTCATGAGTCATTGTCCTATAGGGAAAGAGGATGTGAGAGAGGAGTGGTTCCTATATTAGATATCAGCTGTGTCTGGTCATGAGACAGTGAGGATACATAAACCATTAGCTTCTGGAACTACTGAGAGTCATGGGTCCCCAGTGATGCTGAGGGCCAGGTGATGGTGTTCAATTGTAGAGTGGCACCAAAAAATCATATATATCAACTGCTTTGGATCTGCACCTGAACAGTACTCCTGGGTTCTTCTTTCTAGCAAACATTTTAGTCTTCCAACAGGAAAAAATACCAAAGTGAACTTATTTTTTACTGTTCATTTAAGAAAGAAAAGAAAAAAGAAATCCCACTCTGGAAAAACTAGACATTTAATGAGTTTAACTCAGTTTTTATGATAGTAGCACGAAGCTGTTTGGTTATGTTTATTTGATTTGTGGTTTTCTTTGACTATAGCTCCAGGAATCTAGAGGCTTCAGGAAGAAGATAAAACGTTTAGAAGAAATGAATAAGAAGTTGGCCCTCGAACTGGAACATGAACGTGGAAAACTTACAGGTCTCAGCCAGTCCAACGCTGCTTTGCGGGAGCACAACAATATCCTCGAAACAGCATTAGCAAAAAGAGAGGCAGACTTGGTACAGCTGAATCTACAGGTATTTCACTTTTTGATGTAATAACTTCAGAAGGGAATTGGCTCATGTGATACAAGGCTGGTGCATTTTCTTCAGCTCTGGATGCCTGCCCTGTGTGTTGCATAACAGGATCAATATGGGGGTTGAACAAGAAATCAGAAATGGGACTTTGCACTAAACAGAGTTTTCTTTAGAAAAAAAATTTATAAAATTGCACTACAATATTTGCAATAGTGAAAGTGTAGGTATTTGGAACATACCAAATCCATATGTGTTACAAATGGATTCATTGAGATAAATAATTTTTATTCCTTTATTCCCTCATTCATTTGGACATAGGCAACGAGCTACCATTTAACCATAGCTTTTACAAGTGTAAGGTTAAAAGTATTGTGTGGAAAGAGTAATCAGTGAACAGCAGAGAGTTTTTCTTCAATCCCTGCATTGGCTTGTGTTTGTATTTCCTCTACTTCCAGTGAGTCCACACAAAGCGTGCATTTGTTTTTGTGATGTGTTACAGGTTCAGGCAGTCCTAAAGCGGAAAGAGGAAGAGGATCAGCAAATGCAACAACTTATTCAAGCTTTACAGGCTTCCTTAGAGAAGGAAAAGTTAAAAGTTAAAGACCTTCAGAAGCAGGTAATGGCTCATCTTTTATTTACTTACAAAGCGATTTAAAGGTATTTAAAAAGTATATTGAAATGAAACCTATGTTTTGTAACATCCTGCTTCCTGCAGGGGTCTGTCAGGATGGGCAGTGGCTGAAAGATCAGTTGATGTCTCCTCTGTTGTGTCCTGTGTTAAGCTCCCTTTATGATTCCCCTGCAGAGAATAAACAAAGTAAATCTGCATCTTTTTGTCCTGCTAGGAAGCAGCAGCCAAAGCGGATGCAGCCCACAACCGGCGACACCAGCGGGCAGCCATGCTGGAGCTCAGTGAGATCAAGAAGGAGCTCCACGCCAAAGAGCTGCTGGTCCAGGCCCTGCAGGCTGAGGTGGACAAGCTGCAGTAAGTAAATGTCTCAAAAAGGACAGTAGTTAAAGCAAATCCTCTCAGAAAGCCATACATCAGTGAATTCTTGGGTTTTCCCATTTGGGGTGGATTATGTTGAATGTTCCTCAGCAGAACCTAACCATGGATGTTTGTTTGGACTCTGAGCAAATACCTGCATTTTTCTCTCTTTATAATTCAATTAGACCTGAGGTACACTGGTTTTAGGCTTCACTATCTGCTTTTTTTTCTACTTTCACCACACACTTCTAATATTTCACATTGCTAGTAAGGATTAACATTTTATATATATCCTATTATTCCTCTCTTTTACATCCCTGAGGAACTACACAGAGAATTAATTTGATTATTGACTATGGTCCACAATATATTAAAATTCAGTTTGCTCATATATAAATTTTTTTCTTAAATTATAAGAAACTATCAGACCTACATGAAAATGGATATAAGCTTAACTATTCCTCCAGAAACAAAGCAAAATTGCTGAGACGGTTTTGTTTTATTTTTTTGGCTGCATAATCAGTTGTTTGTAATTGGACTATTACCAGTGCTCAAGAATTTAATAATTTTTTTTCAATATTTATTATTTATACATATCTTTCATAAAATCTTCTTGTGATTTAACTCTTGCTCTATGAATGTGTTGGCAAAGCCCTCAGTCAAAGCTGTGATTAAGCAGGTTCCATGCACAGTCATATCATTTATAGTTAAGTGGCTAACCCAGTGAAGTTCTTGTTTTAAAGAACAGATTGAGTAACTGCTGTGTCTGTTAATCTTGCTGTGCAGGGTAGAGGATGAAAAACATTCCCAGGAGGTATCTCAGTTCCAGCAAGAGCTGGCAGAAGCCACATCTCAGCTCCAAGTTCTGCAGAAAAACCTGGATGACAAACTTAGTGAACAGCCTCTAGTAAGCCAAGAGGTAAAAAGTGAACACTTACTGTGTTTATCTGTATTTCTATTGCACTGTATGATTTTGTCTTTAATTCAGCATATTTAATAAAGTTTTGCTAGGTTTTCTTAAGAAGGTTTTCATGAGACATAAGAATATATTTTGGATTTTGTGATTGATTGCACCTGTAGATAATTCCAATGACTTTTTTTTTTCCCCTGGTAGGTGGAAGACCTGAAGTGGGAAGTAGAACGAAAAGAAAGAGAAATTGAAACCCTTAAGCAGCAGCTGGACATGACTGAACAGCGCAGTCACAAAGAGTTAGAAGGGATACAAGTTGTCCTGCAGGTATTTAATCGAGCCAATTCTGATGGATGGAAGTTTTGATTGCTGTAGGGGGATAATTAAAACTATATTTTTATTTTTTAAAAGCATACTTCCACTTTTTTCTGAATTTTTATTTTGACTGTGCTGTTACCTTTGTAGTTCTTCAACCTCTATGCCATTAAAATAGGCTACTGACTTTCTTTTAACCTAACCTCTGATTTTCTGCCATTTGGCAAATCTGGCAAATTTGTTTTAAACAGCAAACAGTTTCATACACTGTTGTGTGTTTTTTTCTTCTAGTTTCTTCTGGAAACTGATAAGATTATAAAAACATCAGTTGGCTGAAATTTTTATGCTGTTTTTTACATCACATTGATTCTCTTCCCATTTAGAACATCAAGACTGAGTTAGAGATGGTGAGGGAAGACCTGTCAGCAACTCAGAAGGATAAGTTTATGCTGCAGGCTAAAGTGACTGAACTGAAGAACAGCATGAAGTCACTGCTGCAGCAAAACCAGCAGCTGAAGTTGGACCTGAAGCATGGCAAGATGAAGAAGGTATTTAAATAGAAAGAACACTTTTTGTAAAGTACAGGAAAGCTCTCTGCCAATGCTCTTAAATAGCCTAACATGAATGTGCCTGTGATTCCTGCTCCTTGCAGATGTGCACCAGTAGCATGATGTGAGACTCTTTCTAGGTGGGAAAAATTATATTGATGAAATAAAATCGTGTTTCTGTCTCCTTTTTTTCCTTTAACCAGAGGAAAGAACTGAAAGGCGAGAATAACTCTTCCAATCCAGTGACTCCAGTCAAGATTCCTGACTGTCCAGTGCCTGCTGCCTTGCTGGAAGAACTGCTGAAACCAACAGCTGTGAGCAAGGAGCCTCTAAAGAACCTGAACAGCTGTCTGCGGCAGCTAAAGTATGGCCTGTTGTTTTAAACCATAGTAAGGAATCTTAAAAATGTTTTCAGGAAACCAGCTGCCACCATGAGGAAAAAAAGGATTTGTAAAATTAATTATTTATTGAGACTATATTTAGGACAGTAGGATGTTCTGTCTTTGTAAGTGCTTGCTTATATGGTCACTGCCATAGTGAAAGAAGACTTTACAATAAACTAAACAATTGTACACAGCAGAAAAAATCAAAACCAGCTATTAACATTTTTTTAATCAAGCACATTGTATTTGTTTTGTTCTTAAGCTTCTTGTAGATTTCTCTCTCTTGTATACAGCTATATCTTAAGTAGTCTTGGAGTAGGTATCAAAAATCAGAAAAGTAATTTTTTGGTCTTGCATTTAGCAGTCAGTTTTCTGCTTGCTAATTTTTGCTTTTTTTGTTCTCAATAAATCCAAAGGCAAGAAATGGACAGCCTTCAGCGGCAGATGGAGGAACACACCATTACAGTGCATGAATCAATGTCTTCATGGACTCAGATTGAGGGCAAGTTAATGGACCTTACTTCTACAAGTCCTACAAGTGCATCAGACCAGCAGGAGACTCCTACTGCAGATGAAAAGAAAGAGAATTGTAGTGTTAGTGACAAGGAAGCTTTGACACTATAACCTCTTATCAGTTGTCTTTCTTCCTATTGCTTTAAGTATATAAACAAATCTTTATAAAAATTATTTATTTCAGTTTTTTAAATGGTGTTCAGAGTTGTGCTTTTGCCTGTAGAAGCAAAGGGCACTGATTCGAGAACCTGATGGAATAGTAAATGCAGAATGTGCTATTCTAAGCGTTTGTTTGAAACAGTTCTGTCATGTTGGGTACTGCCAAGTGGTGAATCTAGCTCATTTGAGGGTCTAGTAAGAGATTGAGATGAAGATTTAAAATGAGGTCAAGAGGAGCATCTGGTTTCAAGTATGCAATTGTTCAATCTGGGTGAGTTTGTTAAGGAGTTACTGTTAATTATGTAACATCTAGGTTTTCTTGTTTGTTTCTTTTTAATTTGTGGGAGTAGGATGTATTTTTTCCCTCATCTTGGATTGTAGCCAAACTACAGAGAAAAGTAAGTTCTCATGTTCAGCCATCAGCAGTGGTTGAGAACTGGATATGCTGAGTATTCTCTTGTCCCTCCTATAATCTCTTATTTTTGAAATGTAGATTATCAAGATCTGTATTTGAAGGAAAATAAGTTATTGTAAGCCATTTCCAGTTTTGAAGATGACCTCTGACCTATAGCAGAAGAAACAAGACTGTAAAGACAAGCAACAGAGAGCAGTTGGTATCTTTGGCAGATTTGCCTGGGACGTTTGCTGATGTTTTTCTCTTGCAGTCACAGGCCAGTAGTGAGCTTTGCTTCACTGCACAAATAATTTGCACCTTTTTATTTCAAGTTTTGAAGTAGACACCCATTTAAAAGTATGTGTGTAATATATATATATATATATACATAAGAAAAAAATCATAATTTTCTGACTTTGAATATCTGGTTTAATATGCTTATATACTGTAAGTTAAGGCTACAATGAGGGGTTTTGTTACTGTCATTGTTTTAATGTTATGTTTAAGTTTGCTCTTTGACATACTGTACAAATGGCTTAGGGGAATCAGCACCTAAAGCCAGAGCTTTTAGAAATGTAATTATTTTTACTTTAAAAGATATAATTATAATGCCTATAAAATCATTATTTTTAATAGCTTTATCTTCTCCCACACACTCCCTCTTCTTTTTGCACCCTCTATTCCAAGGTGTCCAGGGTGAGTGGAAGTGTTGGTACTGTGGCAGTCCCTCTGCAGAGCACCTTGACTAAGTTATTTTTAAAGCAGCTCACTTTAGTTTCCTTCATCTTTGGTCCTGTTGCTCCATGTGGCTCATAGTGCAGTGACAAGCCAGCCCTCTCCTCACTCTAAAATTCAGTGTTAGGGTATTTGGAAGATTTAGTGGTTACTCATGTACTAGAATGTTTTTGTCCTTAAAACAAAACAAGTGAATTATATCCATTGTAGTTTGGTGTTAACAAAAAAAAAAAAAAATCTATTAAGTACAAGTGTATTCAAAGGCTGGAAAAAAAATTCTAGTTCATGTATTTTTCCAAAGAGGCTGTCGCTGTTTTTGGGTTTGGTTGTAGAGGAGGGGGAAGGATATTGCATTTTGTTTAGCAGTAAGGCAAAAAATAAATAACCAAACAAAACTCCCAAACCCACCTATATTTATCCAAAGTCTGATTTCTCGTAGCTACCACTTCAAGCTCTAGTCCAGTTGAACACTTTGCACTATAAATGTTTTTACTGAATGATTTCATGCCCTGCAGATACTGGATTTTAACTTAGATTTTCTTGGGATCAAAGTCAAGTGGTGCTGACAGTCAAGGTTTTGCAACTGTTAAAGGAAGGAATGCATTGGTGTGGTACTAGATGCCCATCAGATGGATTTACCAAACAATTCAAAATCAAAAGCTTTACAAACTAGCTTAAGACATGTCTGCACACTGCTGCAGTCTGCTTTGTAGAGTAAATGGTACTGATTATATTGCTGTTGTCATGTTCTTGAAGTTGCCTGTATATTAAGCTCAAAGAAGAAAAAAACCAAACCACAGTATTGATAAAGAAAAAAAAAACTGTAATGAATAATATATTCAGTACAAGAAAACTACCAAATGTCCAGGATTTAAAATACTACTTGTGCAGCGGTAATGCTGCTGTTCACTTCATTAAATGCATTGCCTACAGTTCAGAATCCACTATCTTCTAATCTGTTAGTTCAGCAGTGGTTGTATGGATAAAGGTTTTATCTGGTATCAAAGAAGCCAGAACTTTTAGAATCTTTCCTAGTTGTTCTGAATGTCAGCTCTCTTTTTTGTGTCCATTCTGCCTCCTGCTGCAGTTTCTCACTAGCTCCTGAAGACATCTGAGCTTGCACAATCAGCCTTAGATGTGTTTTTCCCTTTCCAGGATGAGGGAGCTGTTGTGGATTAGATTCTGCATTGGCCCAACTGCTGCTGGCAGTACCTGGACACTGGGTATTGTCCTGTTATATTCACCATGTGCTTTTTCCATGTCACTTACTTAAATGAAGGACACTGAGACTTTAGAGGGTCCAGATCTGGTGAGGTACTAAGTGAAGTTACAGAAGTCACTTGGGAGGTCTACTAGAAGGAGCATGCAGTGTGTGATAAAGGCAAGGCCATTTCTTTGAAGCTCATCAGCTATGTTTTTAATGACCCAGAGAAATAGTTGCTGCTTTATTAAAAAGCCTCTCCCTGAGGCTGAGCATGCTCAGTCTGCAAAGCTTCAGGTCTGCTGTCTAGGCAATAAAGTAACTTAGCTGTAGGAATGAAAATTGTCTCCCCTCTGCCTGTCACAGCACTGCCAAATAATCAGGAGAATCTGAAGAATAATCTCTTATAATTTTATTCTACTTTTTCAAGCACTGCAATAGAATGTATTTTCTGTGTTTCTTCAGTGGTTGCTACATACTAAACCAAATCTAGTTAATGAAGGAGAAATGTCACTGCAATGTGAGAATGTTCCCCAGTGCTGAAAGCTGGTAAATGGTGCAGCATTATTTTTTCAGATACTGTTGAGTTTTTGAGGGCTCTTGAATAACTGTGCATTTAAAATAAATATCACAACAAAGGCCAGCAAACCCTACAATAGAATAAAATGTTTCTGTGTCTCTGGCATTGCTGAATATTGCATAATGCTCCATTCTGTTGTCTTCCAGATTTCTTGGAAATATTTGTGCACTGTATTGGGATCAGCTGAGTCCCCTATCCACTCATGCAGCAGCAGGATCTGATCCCATACTGTTTATTCAGGCAATATCCTAGCAGCAATCTATGGGATTTTCACACGTGAAAAGTAATATCCAGGATGAATGTTCTACTGTTCATATTGTCATGGATGATATTTTCCTCCTTAGGGGAGAGAACTGCAGTGGCACAGCTATTTTAGTGTTAGCTGCGACAACATCAAAGGTGTGCTGGGGACAGGTGGTATTACCAATATAAACTTACCTTAAAGATGACAAATTCACTCCTGGTGATGCAGAAGCTTGTGATATACATTTTATTAACTTTGTGGGGAAAGTGGGAATAGTTGCATGTGACTTGCTGTGATCAGAGCCTTTAAGTATTTTCCTGTGAAAGCAATTGCTGTCCAGAGGAATTACTGATGCTCATCAGCTGTCATCTGATCACTGCCTCCTACTAATGAGCAACACTTTGGGCTTGGGCAGCCTCATTTCCAATACAGATGCACAGATTTCTAGGGGAGGGAAGGATGTTCTGAATGAAATGGTTCTGTTCCATGTATGACATTCAGTAATGTCTGCTTAGGCCGTATTTGTAAAGATAGAAGTTAATAATTCCATGTTCTTGAAGAATGGATAACCCAGGGGCTGGAGGAGTTACACTATGTACAATTAATGTTTATGATCATACAAAGCATGTTGATTATAAAAATTATGTGCATAGGGATTCCTTTAAAAGTTTTGTGCAATAAACTATTTTTGCTAAAGGGCCCCATGTTGTTTCTGCTTCGAGAGAGTTACCATTTTCTCTTTGGTTTTGGACAGGAATTTTTGTGTTGGGATCCTGAATATGCTGTGTAGCCACCTTTAAGGAAAAAAAATCTTATTTTGAAAGACAACATTATTGTGTATTGGTTTTTCACACATCTAAACTTCATTGTGCTTGTATTTCCATTATATTTTTTTTTTCTCAGTTAGCTGAACTCATCAGGGAAGAAACACAATTCCTTGGCCTGAATTTGTCGGCCTGTGGAGTTTGAGTGTACAAAATGGAACAATGCAGAAATGTCATCTTCATTCTAATGTAGCCAAAACTGGCTGGATGAGAGAGATCCCTGTACCTTCCTTGCAATGCTAAACAGTGTGAGTTAAAGCAATACTATTTTCTTCTTTAAGGACAGCAACTTAAACCACCAAGTGCCTGCCCTGCACATAGTGCAAGCGCCTGTACCCAAAGGCAGGAATGTTGCACTTGCTGGGAGGGCTGGTTCACATCCGTGCAGGGAATTGTTCGCCTGCACTAGAGGCCTCCTGCTCCCTGGTTTTCCACCTCTCATGGCTCATACGAGACTGCTGCAGCTTTTTAAGGTTAATACCCGGACGGAACCTTTCTAGAGCGGCCTCTGAAGTGCCCGTGTGTTCCCGGTCCCCAGGGCTGGTGCAGTTCAAGCCCTGCCTGCCTGTCCCGGCCTTGGGCAGCGCCCGCCCGGCAGCTGCGGCTGCTCCGCCGTGTGTCCCCCGCAGCAGCGGTGCCGCGCTCCCCCGGCCTCCCCGGCCCTTCCCCGCCCGCCCGGCAGCTGCGGCTGCTCCGCCGCGTGTTCCGCTCCCTCGGCCTCCCCGGCCCCTCCCCGCCGCCCGGCAGCGGCGGCCGAGCGGAGCCGCGGTCACGGTGAGGCCCAGGCGGGCGGCGGAGCCCCGTCAGCGCCGGGCGGAGCCGCCGCCGCCGCGTCTGTTGGGGGGCGGGCGCGGGGCGGAGGAGGTGGAAGCCGCGCGGCCGCGGAGGTACCGTCCCTGAGGGCGTGCGGGCACGGCGGCGGGCGGGCCGCGGGCCGGGCATGGAGCGGTGGGTCGGGGCCGCCGGGGGCTGGGATTCGCTCTGGGGAGCCGGCTGGGGCCGATGGCCGTGCTGGGAGCTCCTGGCCGCCTGCGCCGTCATCGGCGCCGTGGGCTGGCTGCTGCGGCTGCGGGACAGGAGGCCGGGCGGCCGCCGGGCGGCAGCGGCCGCCATCTCCTCCCCGACCCCCATCGCGTCCCCGGCTCCCCACTCGGCCCCGGCGCCGCTCGCCGCGGGGAGCCAGCGCTGCAGCGGGAGCCGCCCAGGTGAGAGACTCGGGGGAGGCCGGGGGATGGTGCTGCCCCTCGCCCCGCGGCAGGGCCGGCAGCGGGCACCGGGCACCGCCCGGGGAGGCCGCGCGGCCCTGCCCGCCTCCCCAGCGCCCGCGGGCCCCGCCGGGCCCGGCCCCGCCGCCCCGTTCCCCTTCCCGCTTTGTCACGGCCGGGCCTCGCCGGCTCCGCCCCGGCCCCGCTCCCGCGGCCCTGCTGCTGCTGCTGCTGCTGCTGCTGCTTTTGCTGCTGCTTTTGCTGCTGCTCCCGCGTCCCCCCCAGCGCCCTGCCCGGCCCGGGTCTACACATAGGTGTGCCTTTCTCCTCCCTGGAAAGTTGTCCCTTTTCCCCCTCCCTTTTTTCTTTTCAAGTGCCTTATTTCAAGTTTGTTCAGCAGTTCCCTTTCAGCCACGTAGTTCATAACTGGTGGCTCATTTGCCCACAGGCGGTACAGACAAATCACCCCAGCGCGGAGCCACGGTTGCTCTAACATATGCAAATCCTATCAGCCGAATACAGCCAAAGACAGGATGTGACTCTCCATTCCTGCCTCGGGAAAAAAACCAACAAAAACAATCCAGCCAAAAAGAGTATTTTTCTTATATTATTCATTTATTGAAAGATTTAATGAGAGTAGTAGAGTAAAATAATACTGCCATCCTTAGAAATCAGGCGTTCATTCTGTCATGGGTCTAGTCTTAATTTTTTTTCGGAAGCAGGTTCTGCTGCTTCATACTGACCCAGTGAGATAAAGAAAGATACAATTCTTGCCCATTCTTCCAGGATTTGATTGATTTGGAAGAACCCTAGAACATATTGTTGTTAAAGGAGTTATTCATATTTGCAAAGGTAACTCACAAGGCCTTAGTGCTGAACTAGAGGAGGTAGCAGCCTCAGTGCTGGCTGTGCTCTGGATCATTTGTAGTTATATAATGCATTTTACGGTTCAAATAATCTCGTTTTGCACCTGCACGTAACAAACGGTCCAAGAATTGTCTCAATATGAGTAGTTGCAGTTTCTTGGGTTTGCAAGTCACACATTTTGTTTTGGACAGATTAAAATAGGTAATGAAATTAAAAACCAATAATGCTTATCTAAATTAGCTGAAATCTCATTGTCAGAACACAAATGGATTTTGTGAGAGTTCTGTGTTGTCACTCCAACAATGTTTTCCCTATTTCCACACCAGACACCCTGTAGAAAACTCTTCATACTACCAGCAGATCTTAAACCTCATTCTTCACTGCTGGTCTGCTTTGCCATCTCATTTTGATTCAGTTGTGCCAGAGTTGTAGTAGACACACAAAATAAATAACTTCTTTTTTTTTTAACAGACAAAATTTTAAGCACTAAGATTTAGGTACCAGGTTCTGTCAAAACATGAGAAATCACTCCCTCACAGCATTTTTTTTGCTTAACCACTAGGCAGGAAGGATTTTTGCATGTACATAAATTATATATGTGTACAGGTCTGCTCTTCTGCAGAATGATTGTGCTAGTTCTGAACCCTAAAAATAGGAGCATTTCTCAGCTAATTCTTTAAGGCATTATGTTGACTGCTCAGAGTGTTTTCACTGATCTGTTTTTGCAGTGAACTTTCTCACCCCTGAGTTTTCATCTTTCTTGTGATTTTACAGTTATGCAGTCTCAAAAGGAAAATCCTTAGAATACCAAGTTTGGATATTTTAATTGAGCTTAGGGGCACATCCCTTAATTAAAACACACTGGTATCAAATGTTATTTTAAAAAATAGAGGACTGAGAATTGAAAACAAGTAAGAGGATCCTTCCTATCTCTTGTAGTCAGATAATCTGTTGTGGGCAAGTCAGATAATGGAAACAGTGAGGTTGCTTGGAGGCTCAGGAATCACAGGG